TTATAAGACTTTTTAGAGATTCAATTAGATCACGTTTGTTTGTATGCAATTTAAAACTTTCTCTGACTAAAACAAATTTTGGAAAATCATCAGTTTCCAAATTATCAGCAGTTTCATTTTTAGTACATAAGAATTTACCATGATTTTTATTTCTCTCTTGATAATTACACAAACGAAAAATTGGTATTTTTGTTATTGTTCTTGTTCTTCTAAAAAAAGGATTATGCATTTTATCACTAAAACAGCAATTAATACATTTAAAAAACAATTATGGGAAAATTGATTAGATTTTTTATCTCTTCTAGTGTTTCTGAGGAAAAAACTATTAAAAAATCATCGTGTTTTTCATGATTTTTTAATAAGTTATAATCATTGATTATAGTTACATTTTTGAACAAATGTAACAAAGAATTTTTGAACAATATATCTAACTTATCTTCTTCAGATTCAATAATTAAAAACTTCTTATCAATATGAGTATCAAAAATTAATAATAATATCTCAAATATATCAAAGATGATTTCTTCACTTTGAAACTCAACGGCAATAATTTTGTTGTTGTTACAATAAAGATGATTTACCACTCGTGCTCGTTCACATGTCATTAATGAACAGCCATTAATTATTGGATTTATTCGATTTTCCCAAATGGAAAGTGTAGAATGAATCTTAATGAGATTATAATGTAAATCCACTTTGGAAATTTCCAAACTTTTGTGGTTATAGTAACAATTCAAAAACATCAAAGATAATCCATAAAAAAAATCAATAATATCTATTAATGGATAAAAATTTGGTATTTTTAATAATAAATATAATAAATACAGGATTTCACTTATTTTCCCAGCTAGTATTATTATAAATATTATAAGAAGATGCCAATCATTATTATTGTAGAATGATTGGTGATGTACCAGTAATGCAGCAGCATGTTTGTAGTGTGGATGAGTGTGCAATTTGACTAAATCTGTTTGAAAATTATAGGTTTTATATATTTGATTTTTATATTCAATAATTTGTAATAAAAATTGAGATATATAGTCAACTTTGTTTTTTTTTTTTAAATGGTCGTAAAATATCAATAGCACTACTATTATTACCAAAGGGACTTTTAAACTTTGAATAAGGTTCTTTACAGTATCTGTAATATAATTGTTTACACACTGGAGCACAACAGTTTAATAAGTCTTGATAAGGAATTTGAGCAAAAATTTCTTCAAGTAATTTTAATGTTGTTGTTGTTGTCATAATATTTTATAGTCTAGTAAAAGTCTAATATTCTTTTTATATGTTTTTGTTTTAAAAATATAATTAAAATTTATGATGGTAAGATTTTTTATGAAGGCAAAATTCTATCATTGTAAAATGTGAGATGATAAACAGGATGTAGGATCCAGGAGAGAGGGTTGGTTATTAACCCTTTAAAACATTCTCCAACTAAAACAATTTTTGTAAAATCATCATTTTCCAAATCATCAGTTTCATTTTTAATACATAATAATTTACCATTATTTATCTTGTTCTCTTGGTGGTTAGAGAGTGACTGCAGGAGGGAACAGAACCAATTGGAAAGAGTAGTAAGGGAGAAAAAGTTAGCATATGACAGGTTTTTACAAGTGATGTAAGGAGGGAAAAGTATATAGAGAGAAAGAGAGAGGTTAATTGAGTGCTTCAGTTAAAAAATAGGAGAAGAGAGTTATTAAATGAAGAGTTAGAGGTATTGGGAAGATGGAAGTAATATTTTGAGTAATTGTTAAATGTTGATGAAGATAGGGAAGCTCTGATTTCATTGCTGGGATTGATCGGATAAAGATTGAAAGGTTAAAAGCAGGTGGAGATATAGTTTTGGAGTAAAGGTACATATTATTGTCACATTCTTCTATACAGCCAGCATTTTTTTTTTTATAATGATATTTTGCAGAAGCTAGTAGTAGTCTTAGATATCTGCCTTCTATAAAAAATAAAAAAAATAAATAACCCTCAATAGTATGATCAAAAATATTTTAGGATTATCGAAAATTATTTTATGATGATAAAAAATGTTATAACAGAAAATTATTCTATGATGATAAAAACTTTTCTGCTTTTTTTATTCTACGATGGTAAAATCTTTTAAAAAAAGAGTGTTTTAAAATTATTCTAAGATGGTAAAATCTTTTTCTGTGATGATAAAATAAAATATTTTTTGTTGATCATACTTTTAAAATTATTCTAAGATGGTAAAATCTTTTCTGTGATAAAATATTTTTTGTCGATCATACTTTTAAAATTATTCTAAGATGGTAAAATCTTTTCTGTGATAAAATATTTTTTGTCGATCATAGTTTTAAAATAATTCTTCGATGGTAAAATCTTTTCTGTGAATCTTTTCTGTGATAAAATATTTTTGTCGGATCATAGTTTTAAAATTATTCTATGATACTAAATTTTTTTCAGTGATGATAAAAATATTTTCTGTTAAAATATTCTACGATGGTAAAATATTTTCTGTGAGATATGAAAATAAACAACCAGTTGAAGACCAGAAGAGTATTTGAGCAGCATACATCGTATAATTGTAGAAACCTTTCTCCCTTGAGCCAGAGATGGGTAACCCATGTTAGAACTACGATCTTGGCGAACTACGGTCTTGGTGAACATTATACAATGTTGAAAGACTTCACATCTAGGTAAACTAATTTCAAGTAAAATTTTGTTATAATAATAACTAAAAAAATCATGTTAAGGTACAAATGATCTTTTGTTTAATTTGTTAATAAAATTAACAAATGGAAATTATATGTGAAAAACTTTTGTTACAGAAACAAAAGTGTCCTAGACATCACTACTCTGATAAAAAAAAATGATAAATTCATAGAAGACTTTGATCACAACCTTCCAAAATGAATGAAGGTGACTGAACAATATCTCACTGATAAAGAAATGCTTTTAGCAATGGAAGATTTTGAACATGAGTTTTTTTAATATGATATTATTGAATCACAGTATAATTTTAGAAATTTTAATGATAATAATTTTTTTTTAAAGTTAATTTTGGGGATGTAATATTAAATTTTATTAAAATTACCCATCAAGAAGCAGAGAAAACCAAAGATGAAGAAAAATATCTTTCAATAATAAAAGGTAATATTACGAAAGATTTTAGTGGCAGTGATAAAATACTTTAAGTACAACAAGCAAATTGTTGTGCTGTTAAATTGAAGAAGGGAGGTCTTGCTGATGCTTTAAGTCAAGTTTTACCACTTAGTAATCCATATTTACTTAGATCACCTGGATATCATAAAGCAAATCTAGCTAGTGAAGCCACTCGTGATAAATTTGGGAGTATAAAGTTTGTAAATAATGGAAAAAACAACCCAATGATTGCCAATATGTTCGCACAGTATGCAATGGGACCTCCACATAAGTATTATATGAACTGTAAAGTTGATAAGACCTACTACAATACATGCAAATATTTATATATAAAGAAAGGTTGGGTCGTGAGATTAAAGTGCATGAATGATCTTGTTAAATGGTTATTAACAGATCCCAATGGGATTTTAATGGAAAAAGTTGTGTTTCCAGAAGAAATTGGATGTGCTTTCAGCCGGTGGTGATCGGAATGTGTATCTTGAAATAATTCACGATTTTTTAAAGGAATTAAAAAAACATCATAGAAATATTGTTTTCATTATTGTAAAATATGTCAAATAAAATATGGTTATATAATTAAATATATCTATCTAATATTGTTTTATTCACTATAATTACCCTAAAATGTATAGACTGGGAAATGTGGTTAGGCCTTTGGGACAGTTACTTGATTCCAGAGATAAGGGGGGGGGAGTATTTGTGCCTCCTCCCATGGAAAAATTAGGTCTCAGACACTCCCTAAGATTAAATAGAGAACCAAGACAGGGGGAAGATACTACTTGAAATTTTAAAAGTTGTTATTTTTATATTTTTAAGACTGGTGTAATGCGATAAATAAGAAAGATATTTTAACATGTGGCACAACAATATATAAAAAAATCTTAAATAAGCCATTAAAAGGGAATCTTACTGACTATTATTTATCAAAGTATTAAGCAATGAAGATTTGTGATAAAGATCTTTTATGGACAGTAATATTTCATTTACTACTGTTAAAAACAATATCTGCAAAAAATGTGAATCTATAATAAAACAGAAAGATGTATTGTTTAAACAGCATTTTGAAAAGTAAAATTTTTACTTTTGGTATAAAATGGATAAGGAATATACCCAGGTTAATATAGCTATATCAATCAACATATGGACAAAAAACTTGACAATCAATAAGTGGAATAATGAAAATTATACAATATACCATAATAATGTTTGGTCCAATACAGATGAATATATAAGAATTTCTCTTTATGATATTATTGATATACAAAAAATTCCATATATAGATAAAATTAAAATTGTAAGCAATGCTACTATAGAGTTGATTAAATGTAAGAATTGTAAATAGCAAAGTTTTCCAAGTATAAAGACAAAGATAAGTGACCAGACACCATTACTAGCAGTTTTGGGAGTAGTGGTGTTGATAACACTAATGAGTAGTACAGCCTATATTTATTATCTCAAGAAATGTGTAACTCGGGGTGATTATTTAATAAAAAAATTGTTTACGTGAAGTTAAACCATATAAAAGAAGTTTGTTTCATTCCAAATTCAACAGAACAGTTGCCAGGCAAGATGGGAAAGGACTATTATAAAATTCTTGGTCTTGAGAAAAAGGCTACTGATGAAGATATTAAGAAAGCTTATAGGAAAATGGCACTCATGTACCACCCCGACAAAAACAAGTCTTTTTTTGCAGAAGAAAAATTTAAAGATATAGCAGAAGCCTATGAAGTATTGAGTGACAAAATGAAGAGAAAAATATATGATATGTACGGCGAGAAAGGACTTAAGAGAGGAGAAGGAATGCCTAGTGCTAGTGGTCATGGAGATGGACTACACTTTAGGTATACTTTCTCGTGAGATCCTATAACTATTTTCCAAAAATTCATTGGTGCTAGTGATCCTTTTCTACTTTTTTAACAGGAGTTGTAGATTCTAATTTTTTTATGATGGATAAACACATAAGTGGAAGCAGATGGTATTCCTTCAGCTTCAACAAGTCTTCTGAATTTTCCAAACCTCAGGACAACAAGAGTCATTACCAAGAAACTTTTAACTTCAACAATAACAGCAGTAACCCTTCTGATATTTTTAAATCTCAGAACAAAAGTCCAAGTCAAAGTAATTACCAAGAGACATTAACAGCCTTTGGATTCACAAAGAAAGATAGAGACTTAACATCCCTTCCAGTTCCTTTTCCTGTCAACTCATTTTCAAGTACTATGAATGAAAAAATGGAAATTGATGAAATTACTACTTCTAGAAATATGTCAGAACAATCAATTCTTGTGTCTACCAAAGATTTAGACCTTTATGTTACCTTGGAAGAAGTTTACAAGGGTGTTACAAAGAAAATCAAGATTATTAAAAGAAACAATAACTGTTATGAAGAAAAGATCTTAATCATAGATATTAATCCAGGGATGAAAAATGGCACTTAGATTATTTTTTAACGTGAGGGCAATAAGTTTCCTGGCAAAAATCCTGAAGATATTATCTTTTTAGTCAGAGATAAACCTCATCAGTATTTTAAACGTGATTGTGTTAACCTTCAGTACACAGCTAAATTGACACTACGTGATGACTTGTGTGGTACCCAAGTAGAAATTCCTACCCTAACCAATGAGAAAGTTACCTTAAATTTAAGTAACGATATTGTATGACCACAAATGACGAAGTGTCTTCAAGGTTATAGATTACCCTACTCTAAAGATTTTAATAAGAAAGGGGACATTATCATTAATTTTGATATTCAGTTTCCTTCCATTTTGATTGATAGTACAAAAAAAATTCTCTCTAAAATTCTTTAAGTAATTTTTTTCTAATATATAAATTTTAAAATAAAATAAAAAATAAAAAAACTTTGAATTAATCCCTATATTTCCTAAGAGTATAAATACTTTCTACTGGGTTATTAGACACACCACAAATAAGTTTGAAAATCAGTAAGACCAGTGGGTTAAAAATTGGCTTTTTAGCATAGCTTTATAACAAAAAATAATATTAATGGATCAGATGATGATCGAAGATTATTTCAAGTCAATTTCTGGCATTGAAGAAGAAATGGGTCATGCTCTCTGTCATCATTAGTATTTTCTTGAACGTCGAACTTCTCCTTGTGAAAGGAAGTTTTGGAAAGACGGAGAATTGGAAAGTTTTGAAGTGGATATGGAAAGAGTGGATTGCCTATATCACATTGATATCTATACAGATGAAGAAGAAGAGATAGTTTACTGTGAATTAGTGGTACGAATGGTGTACGAGGAAAACAGTCAACAACACCACCACCACAGTCATGCTTTTGTCGAGATGTCTGCAAAATGCAATTTTATGAGTAACAATAGAGAAGGGCAAGGGCAGCAGTATATGTACATTACTTTCAATCCAAACATCTTTTTATATACCACAGGAACTAATAATTATAATATAAAGACCTTATCCTTAGTTCACTTCAAGAAGAAGGGTACAATATACTACCATATGAGGGAAAAAATAAGTTTATTATAGACCTCAAAATCAAACTTAACTATTATCCAAAGACTCTTCTTCCTAGTATTGTAACAGAGAATTTTAATGAATACATTGACATTAGTATGGCTAAAGAAGATTACAAAAACTGGGATAAAGGAAGAAGTAATTATATCATCTTGAAAAACCTTTTTGAAATGGATTTGTGTCTAGAAAATTAGCTATTACTACTAAAAATAAAAAATTATTATTTTTCGTAAGGTATAAAACTGTGATGTTTTTGTGAAAATGACATGACACAACTTGTGACAATGAAGACTAAGTTTTGTTATTAGTGTGTTGAATAAAAATTGTGTGCTATACCAATGTAACCATCGAAAAACATTATAACTCTACCTAACTCCATTTAAAGTTTTGAAATGTAACCTACAAAACTTTCTAGACTCTATTACATATATTTCTCATCTAAGGTTTTAAATGAAGGTTGGAAAAACAGATAGATATCTAAGCTCCTCCTGTTGAAATAGTAAGAATAATTAAAATTATGTGTAGACACACCAGTCGACAAAATATTCTAAACTATTCTACAAGTTTTTGAAACTCTTCCCCTTGAAGTTAGGAAAATTGGAGGAGGAGGAGGAGGAGGAGTGAGGAAATATATGCTATATAAAGTTAAGTTCTGTCAGAAGGGATTTAGAAGGGTTAACTTATCTTCCTTAACTCCACATTTATCTAAAATGGAACCTCTCTCCATAGAATGTTTAGACTTACAAGAAATACTAGAAGAACTAGGACATAAGGACCCACAAGGAAGGATGAATCTACAAGGATTATTGGAAGATTTAGAACAATTGGACCTACAAGGAATAATGAATCTACAAGGAAGACTGGAAGAAATAGGACAACTGGATGAATTGGAACAGATGGAGATTTTGGATGATAATCTTCACTTTTCAGATAATAGTGATATGATAGCGGTATTTCAGATTCTGTAGAAGGTTTTGAAGAAATACCAAGAAATATTAAATCTTTAATTACAGAAGTAAGTACAGTTTCTGAAATTGAGAAATGGTGGGTAATGCTCTTAAATATCAGAATATGTTTAAACATGAAGTTTCAATTTATGAAAATGAATATTGGCATTTAGAGGAATTAGAAAACTTCAAGGTGGATTTAGATAAGGTTGGCTGCCTGTACCACATCTTTGTCAATAAAAATAAATGCTGTTTTTATGAATTAGTGGTGTGTATGGCTTACAAGAATTCTCATGTTTTCGTGGAAATGACAG